AGTTAATAATCCAATCTATATACCTTACGCTAAGACCTGATGGACAAAAGTGAGTGCCTAATAGCAAAATGGATAAAACTCACTGGTAAACATAAATTGACCAAAAAGCATTAAAAAAATCCCCCAAACAAAAACTAACTCTACCTCCTAAATAATCAATACAACTTAATTCAAAAGGGCACATCTAATGTTACCTATAAACCTGCCATAGACTTTCTAACATGCAGTGTTGATGACGACCACTCTCACACACTGTCAAATGGAAGTTTAAGTTGATACGAAACAAACTAAAGGCCTTCTGAGAAGAAATTTAGCTGTACTTAAGATACATATCTTTTTGCCTTAGCTGGTGCGGCTCAGTGGTGGGAGCATAGTTCCGCACACCAGAAGGTGGCAGGTTCGATTCCTGGTCAGGGCACATACTCAGGTTGTGGGTTCGATCCCCAGTCTGGATGCATAAGGGAGGCAACTGATCAATGTTTCCCTTGTACACTGATGCTTCTCTCTCTCTCTCTTCCATCCTCTCTCTAAAATCAATTTTAAATATACATATTTTTTAAATTTTAAGTTTTTATTTTGAAAACTACACATCTTTTAACACACCACATGATTTTGTAAATCTATTGAAAGACATACATAGTTAAGGACATGTTCAACAACTTAGCTACAGGAATTGCAGTTCAGCATTGTTTATTTTGAACAAAAGACTGGAGATCTCTAATATGTCCAATAAGAAGAAATTGATTAAACAAATCACGGTGTATTTATATATAACTCTTAAAATCACGTTATAACAATACTAACCTGGAAGGATGTTTCTGATATACTATTTGATATACTATTTATAGAAAAATATACAAATTACATATAGTATATAATTCATTTCCATGAGAAAAATTATATCAGAAGATGTGTGCCTGTGTGTTAAAGAAGTCTATAAATGCACTAGGGTGACACTGGTTAATAAGATCATAGAGGTTTCAAGTGTTAACAAGGGATCGTGTAAGCACTATGAGGGCAGGAATCTGGTTTGCTTTCTGCTATAGTTCTAACACACAACAGTGTCTGGCATAATGGAAAAATAAAACAAAAACTTGTTCTTTTTGCTTATCTCCATTTTCTCACTGTTCTGCAATAAATAAATTATTTGCATAGTACATTTTTTAAATGTTGCCTTAAAAAGAATAATTCAACAGCTAAACTAATTTTTTTACAAATAGAAATGGAAATGCCACCTACTTCACAGGGCCACAGGTTTAAATAATAATTTATGTAAATATTCCTTGTAAACTCGGAAGCACTGCATAAATGTCAGAAATGAGTTATTTTGTTAAGATCATATATTTCAAAGTTAAACCAGTTTCATATACGCTTTGGCTGGTAGCCTTCCTCTCAGCAGTTTCACTTCCGGTACTTTGTGTTACCTTAGAAGCGAAAATTTGCAATAATAGAGAACTGGTTGAGAACTGGCGCATCCATGAAATGGAATAGTATGTCACAATTAAAATGTGTCCTGTAGAAATGTATTTATTGACATATACTCTTAACCTCTTTAAAAAATTCATATATGTAACATAAGTAAAATAATCCTCAATACAGTTTATTATAGCATCTATGAAGTCAAATATTCAAAGTAATTATAATAATTTTTATCTTTTTAAATTTCTTCATTCATTCTACTTGAATTTATTCAGCTTTTCACTTTTAGTCATTTGTTTCTCAAGATTCAATCAGTCAAAGCCATCAACAATATTTTATCTTTTAGTGGCTAAATTAAAAACACTTTATGGATGGCTTTCATCCTTTGAAGGCATACCTGCTTTAAAGCCACATTATAGTGTCAAATTAAGCACATGTATATTTTATAAACCATGTAATTCCTTTCTACAGTTTAATGTTAGTGGTTTCATATACATATCTTTATGCACTAGTCACTACTTCATAAATCAGAAGCTGAATCTCATTTTCTCTCCTTAAAACAAATGTAAGAATCGTTTTCCAAGGCTTTATTTTTCCTACTTTCACAGAGAGATCACAGAAGTAGGGTACAAAGAAGAGTCACTCAGAACTAAATTAATAACAGCTAAAAAAAAGTAGTTAGAAATGTGAACTGGATTGGAATTCCTTTATAAACACGGACAGTAGGAATTTTTTCTCCCATGGATCTCTATTAGAAGCTGAAGAACTCTTACACCTACCACCACATATATGCATTCTTGAGTGAACACCAGCTCCCTAAAAAAAGTAGTAAGTGCTTCCATTTCCCCAAAGACTACGTCTTTATCTGGTATTCAAAAACTCAGCTAAACCCTTGTTGTCTAGTATTACACTAATTAAAGGCATTAATGAAAATGTCCTCACCTTCGTTTAACTTGATTTTATAAGAATGCCTACCAACACTAGAACTAAAACATTTCCAACATGCTATTTACAGAATATCATAATTTGGGAAGCTGATCAATAACATAATAACAACAGAATTGTACAGTTATGGGAATCAGCAAAAATTTTAAACAATTGTGAAGCTTCCAACTGAAATTAGAGCCCAAGAAAAGTGGAAGAAAGCAATATGTTGAATACAAGAAGATGAAGCCATTATTCATGTACCCAACAAGCACCAATCAAGGTGACAACACGCCCGATAATGGAGAGGGCTGTGGGCGGAAGGAGGGGAAAGTGCTTCAAAGGAAGAGCAGGGAGGTGCTAGGTGTGCGGCAGGGCAGGGCTGAACAGCCCACGGAAGCAGGAAACACTCAGCACCAGGAGGAATCCCATCATGTACTCTGAGGCTTTCCTCAGGAACCGTTTAAAATCCACAGACCCACCTACTTTCCACTGTGAATAAACTTCCTACAGACTCTGAAATAAAGTGCCACCTAAACTCATAGTCTTCTTAAAGTTTCTAAAACCTAGGTCTATATTCAGTTTCTGTAAATTACTGCTTAAATGTAAATCACTCCATTTCTTTCCTCCAGATACTGTCTTGCTACAACTGACAGGTTTTTCATTTTTTCCATGATAAATTCTTTGAACTGCCTTTTTTAGGGCAGCGGCAGGTTGGGGGTGTCACAGCTTCAACTCAAGGTGGCTCCGTATTATCCTATAAAAGCCTAAAATGCTAAGTGTCCGGTCATCCAATCAACCAATCAAAGTGTAATATGTTAATAAATGCTAAGGCCGCTCAACCGCTTGCTATGACGTGCACTGACCACGAGGGGGCAGACAGTCGACAGGTTTATCAGTCGCTATGACATGCACTGACTACCAGGGGGCAGACGCTTCGACCGGTATGTTAGCTTGCTGCTGGGGTCTGGCTGATCGGCACTGAGCGAGACGGGCCGGACATGCCCTGGAGTCCTCTTGTGGTTCCTCCCTGGCTGGCCAACCTCCCATGTCTCTCCCTGGCCCCGATCGTGCACTGGTGGGGTACCTCAGGCTGGCCTGTGCCCTCTTGCAATCCGGGACACCTCGGGGGATGTTGGAGCGCAGGTTTCGGCCTGATCCCTCAAGCCAGGCCGAGGGACCCCACTGGTGCATGAATTTGTGCACTGGGCCTCTAGTCTTTTATAAAATCCTGGCATTTCTGCTAACCATTTGATGTTTATTCGTTTGTTGTTGTTACCGTTTGTTTGTTTGTTTTTTCCCTGAATTCATTATAAACCTTTTATTTTAAACCTTTCATTTAAATCTATGTAATTCAAACAGGAGACAGCAGTTAGTACCTCAAGGGTAAATACAGCTCTTCAATTTTACACACAAGCCCGGAAACTAGACTAAGTTCCTGGCTGAATCTTATGGCCTAGATTTATAACTAAACAAAGGTAAAAATTTAAAGTTTTTTCGTAAAAGACCCAAAACAGCCATATAAATCCATTTAGCTTATATTGCTTTTCACTCAAATTTTCATTAAAAACATGTTTATTGTGAAACCATTATTATTCTCTTAGCCAAGAAATATGGGAGGGTAGCAAAAGGAAGGAGCGACTTGGAAGAGGTGGCATCACAGGCCACAGGCGTCGACAATACTGCTGTGAAGTGGGAGGGCTATTTGAACTCAATATAGACTGTTTTGACTTTAAAAATAATAACAAAAAAATAAATCTTACTTGAAATAGATTCATACTTCTCCAAGTAACTGATAAGACTTTATAAAAACACAATGAATGTAGTCATTATAACACTAAAATTCCCATATTTTATGGACTACCAACTTATATATCCACTCAGCCAAGCTGTTTTCCTGCTGCTGACTTGAGTTCCTGTTTTAAAGCTGTGCCAGTTCCTCTTGGGTGTTCTTGTGACGAAAGCAAGCAGCTTTCCCTAAGTTTTAGCCAAGCTCCTTCACATAGTTATCTTATGAAAAAGCCACAACGTTGGGGCACACCACAATGACAGACAGGAGAAAAAAATCTTTTAGAGAATTATTTTGATGTTTAAAATAATGGGGGGAGGGGGCGGATGATGCATTAAACATAAGATGCTAATGAAATAACATGCTAATTGAAAATAATATGCTAAATAAATAACATGTTAAATACAATTAGCTAATTAATAAAATGCTAATTTTGATATAATCTGATGCCAGACACCAGGTTTACTAAATGCTGAGTTACTAATATTTTTTAAAAGTTGGATATGCATTCTTTTTTGTATACTAGTGACTTAAAATGCAAAATCAAAGGAAAGAAAGAGGAGCACACAATGATGAGCTCAGGGAAATGTACCGGAAATGGACAAGAATGGAAAAGTTTGACAGCTTTAAAGTACTTTATAACACAAGGCATGCTGGCTACTTGAAGCAGATATGCTATTATTTTCTCATCAGAACATAACTGAAAATCATTCACCTCAAAAGAAAAGACACCTTGGGTACACTGTTACAAGTTCATAGTAACTCTTCATGCATATGTGACTTTGGAAGTTTTTTTAAAAACGTGGTAATACCACAAGCTGGGAATGAGTCACAGTATCATGATCTACCTGGAAGGCGATAAACCCACCTGATTGATGGAGTTGGCAGCACAGGATGCCAGGCCTGTTCCCACAGAAGTGAGCAGAAAACAGGACAAGTCGAAGGGCCCTGGGGCCAATGCAAATCCCGCTGAAGTGGTGCTGACAACTAGAGCTGAAACAGAAGCAGAGCAGACATCTCGTTACCAACACAGGCCCCACACTGCAAACGGCAGATAAGCCATCTTCCAGGGAACCCAACCAAGTCTAACCTTCCACTGGAAAAGCAAACATTTTTCCCACCATAAACATTATGTGTGCTCATCACAGAAAAATGCTTCTTTTCCTTTAATTCCATTATACATGAGAGAAAAAATAAGGTGGATGTTTTAGATTGAACCACTCTATTATTCGCTCAACACACATTTATTGAATACCTCCTTCACAGCCAGTACTATGCTGGGCATTAGGCACTGTGTGGGATGAGGGGTTGAACAAGGTCTCATTCCTGCTCTCAGAATTTATTTGACGGGGAGACGACAGACAGACAGTCATAACTGTATAACACAAGGCAGGAAAGAGCAAGGCCCTGCTCTGTGGGTCTTAATTCTACCTGAGCAGAGGGCTTGCCTGTAACAGATGGTGGCCCCAGGGCCCAGAAGATGATAAGAGGATGACTACAGCCACCAACAGAAACAAAGAGGCAAGATGCAAAAGCAAAGCTATGCAATCTGAGCAGCCACAGTGACTGCCCCTTTTTTTAAGCCCTGGTCCTTCTTTCCTGGGGGTTTGCAGAAGCTACAGGGCCAGGAAGTGTCTGAGAGTGGTACTGACACAGGGCTGCAGAAACTGAAAAAATGATCACTGTTAGTGAATTAACTGGAGAAGAAGACTTCAAGTAGATGGCATTTAAACGGGACCTTCGGTGGGATGTAGAAACAGGAGAGTAGTGGGATGGGCAACATTACAGGTGGCTGGATAATTCCAAGAACCAGCACAGGGGCAAGAGATCACTGTCAAGACTCTAAAGCACCTGTGACATCTGCCTAGATTGTCAAACCAAACAGCTAGGAAGCATTTTTGAACCTCTCCTTTCTCTCCCTTCTCTACATCCCACCCATTGCAAAGTACAGTCTGTTCTCCTCCACAACGCATTTCAAACACACCTCTGCTGCCATCGTCTCGTCCCACAGCTCACAGCCGGGGTGGTGCCGCCACAGGGACAGTCAGCAATGCCTGGAGACAGAGTGGTTGTCACGACTGGAGGGGATGGATACTGCTGTGCTCCAGTGGGTGGGCGCCAGGGATGCTTATAGACATCTTATAGAACAGCCCCCCAAAAAGAACATTCTGGACCCAAATGTCATATGCTGACACTGAGAAACATGTCATCTAACCCAAGCTATTATCTTGCCTGGAAAACTGGAAGGGCCTCGTTCCTTATTGGTCTCCTTTCTTCAACCTTGGTCCAGCACGGATGATATTTTAAAATGTACACAGATCTGCTGCATAGGAAATCCTTTGACACTACCCCTGGAATGAGATGCAAGCTCTCTCCCCAGCCACACAAGTGCACTGGTGCCTCTCTCGCTCACTGACTCGTCTCCCCTCACAGGACCTTCTGTTTTTAAGCCAAGATCCTTCTTGCCTCTGGGTCCGTGCACTTCCGCCTCCTCTGCCTCTCTCACCATCAACTCCTTCTCATCCTCCAGATCTCATCGTAAGTATTGCCTCGTAGAGAGAACTCTGATCCTCATGTCTGCAGTGGCCCTCCCAGCGGCTCCTCCCTCACAGCGACGCCTCCCTCACAGCGTCCTTCATTATCACACACAGCACTCATCATGCGGTGGCCCCGCATGGAACATGGGTCCCTGGAAGGCGGGAGCCCCGACCTGGTTCTCTGCCATACTTTCAGGGTTACCACTAGGCCAAGCACAGAGCAGAATTTCCCAGAGGAAGAGGAGGAAGGGTGGCGGCTGTCAGATGGCAGAATATCAAGTTAAGGAGTTGGCATTTCATTTGATGGGCAGTAGAGACAGTCTAATGAAGAAAGTGACCCCAAAACTGCAAGTTTAGCCTGGTAGCAATGGGCACCAGGACTTACAACAGGCACAGTTGTGCAGAGAAACAATGTGAGAGTCTGTGCCATTAACCCACTCTGCATAAATGTAGTAACAGTGGGAACCAGATAGATGTAAAGGGTATTTTGATGGAACAGCTGTTAGGACTTCTTAACTGTGAAAGGTGGAAGATAAAGTAACAGCACAAAAGAATAAAAGGTAAAGGGCTGCACCTGGGTGCATGAAGAAGGACCACAGTGACAGAAATAAGGAAATCGGGGGAAGGTGATCCAGCTGGCTGGGCTCAGCAAAAGGCGCTGCCTTTGAGGAACTGCAGGCCATTCAGGTAGAAGCATACAGAACATTACACTGGAGCCCAGGAAAGAGATGGAGAAGGTGGGAGGCCCAATGCTCTGAGTCCTGCACCCACAAACCATGGCTGAGCCCCAGAGAACAGCCAGCAAAGATAGTGAAAAGGAGTGTATCAGAAACATCAGAATTTTACCTTTGGGAGTAAAGGAATCCTGACAGACCCAGATAAAGAATATTTGGGTCTTTATAGTCCTGCCATTGGACATGCCTTGTGCCTAACACTTAGGCCAGGCACAGGCTTCTTCATATTTCTATTTATTTGATTGGGATCAATATAATTTGCAAAGGTGACTTAAATGCATGTGTGGAACCAGAAGTTCCTAGACAGCGTGTATTTGGCAAAGGGGTCCTTCCTTTACCTTGGTGGTCCCACACAGGATGTGTACCTGAGCCTCCCGGGGAGGCGTTGCCTCCAGAAAAGAGGACAGAGGTATAGGCTTGAGCAGATAGACTGAAGAACAAGGTCCAGGAAAGAGAAACAAGTTTGGATAAAGGTGGGGAGACAAACAGAAGACGAGCAGCTATAGGCAAACAGGGGGCTTATTGGAAGTCACAGAGGCACACGCAGGAGAAGAGCAGCTGGCTCAGGCTGTACCCCCTTCTCCACTCTGCCTGGCCCACACGCGGCACTACAAGTCAGAACACAACCCTCTCACCTCCGTACAGAACAGCAGCGAAAGCCCCATGGACCCAGGGCAGCAATCCAAGACTAAACACGATTTCAAAGGAAACATTCTGAAGAAACGTTTAGCTCTCTAATTCTCTAACGACTTAGGCCCCCAAAAAGAAAGCCACAGTGATTCCAGCTTTGGGAACAGTAGTTGAGGGCATATAAAGGATATCTTATGCAGGTAAGACAGGACAAGAACAGCCTGTCATGGAACAGCCAGACCTGCACACATTTAGTGAGCACCAAGAAAACAGCATTTTTAAAAGAGCAAACAAAAGTCCTTTCAGGACACTCAAACAGCTCCGTTCTCTGATATCACACCGTCAAGCGCAAAGCCTCAGGGACAGGCTGCGTGCCACACTGCGGCATCCGCTGCACCACTCCACGCCTCCCGGTGGCTGGCGACTCCGCACACGCTGCCCTGCATGTGTGACAAGCCAGGGCTGAAAGAAACATCCTTAACATCCAGACCACCCCTCAGCTGTACAGACGAATGCTGCTGCCCAAGAAAGGCTGATGGTGTCAACGGGAGACTTTGAGAGGAAAGAGGCTGCATGGCATTCCCTTTCAAAATGAACTAAGTAAATTGCTTTTATCCACAGAATAAGTCAGTCAAAATAATTCATGACTATTTTAAGGCCTTGAACCTTACATCAGAAGTAGACTGCTATAAACACCTTATAAGCAGCCTACCTTATAGAGCATAGAAAATCCTTTCTTGATATGTAATTAGCAAAAGCTAGAGTCACCAAAATAAAGAACCTCTAAACATCCAAATAAAGAATACCTCTAAATATCCAAATTACATTTTATATAGTGTTTTATAAACAAATAAGAAAAATCAATTAACACCTAGTGGACAAGAGAGCACCATAATCATTAAGCTGTCAAAATAAAAATGCTGTAAGAAGAAAATTCACTTTAAAATAAAAAAGAATATGTAGTTACATGAAAGCGAAACTCTTCACTCATTTTTTCTTTTACATTCACCTTAGGGTTTAAATGAGTGATGAATAATATACAAAGCACATCAAATTTTAACTAATGGGTTCAACCGATAAGTTGAGAGATAGAAAGTGGTTTACAAAAAACTGACAAAGGCAAAAGGTAAGACATGATCATAAATTTAAAAAACAGAAATAACTGCCTAATTTTAAAATGTACAAATTGTGAATGGTAATATACATTACAAAATTATAAGGATGATTATTACAGCCAAGGAAACTGGAATTTTGTAGAACATTTCCAAAAAAGATCAAAAGCTAATAAAGAATGTATTATACTTACTGCATCAAAGCAATTAAGTTAAAGAAAGAGAAGGGCGGAGGATTGATAAATTGTGCAAGGAGAACTGACCAAAGCAATACTCTCACACGGCACTGCCACAACTGTAATTAAGCTCCTCATTGATTTCCTGGGATTCATTACAGGGAATCATTTTACAACACCCGGATCTCATTAAAAGTGAATGTAATACATTCTTTCATTAATAACAGTTGAAATTATATTTTATTTGGTAATCTCATATTCTGTCCCTTCGCAAGTAAACATAAAATCGATGCTGCCCACGAAGCATGACCCGTCTGACGGAGGCCCGGAGGACTGCTCCGAGGCCCGAGGATGACGCTGGAGGCCCAAGAAGGAGGAACCTTCCAGCCCCGTGGAGCCTGTCTCATCCCGTCCTCGCTCCTGGCGGGTGTCCAGCCAGGGAACCACAAGCACCCCCATGCAAAGATTCACTAACAGCCTGTGGGGTGCTTAGTGAAAGGCAGTACTGACTATCAGGCCCAAGTTTTTCACAACTCAACCTCTCCAGTCAATCTCTTCTGACCCATCCCATCATCAACAGGATTCAACAGAAACGGTCTCTTGTCTGCCCGCTTTCTCCAAGGAGTTCTTACATATGCTCTCCGTAATTAAAACAAAATTATTTTGAAATAGTCACAATTAGGCAAGTCCGTCCGGCCTGGAAGAAAGCCAGCGTCCCTGGTGTGAACTATGGGTGGCCTCGGAGCAGAGCAGGCCACAGTTGACGCTGGAAGGGAAACAGGCCTCAGTCCAAGAGAGGCGCAG